GAACGTTCTTAGCCCACCCCACCCCACCCCACACAAACCCATCTGTAGCGTAGCATCAGGTATGTGTGCAAGTGCAAGAGACGAGGTCGGTAGCGTAGCATCAGGTATGTGTGCAAGTGCACGAGACGAGGTCGGTAGCGTAGCATCAGGTATGTGTGCAAGTGCAAGAGACGAGGTCGCTAGCGTAGCATCAAGTATGTGTGCTAGTGCCATTGAACGTTATTAGCCCACCCCACCCCACCCCACCCCAACCCACCCCACCCCATCGGCCAAAAAAAACACAAAAACGCACGTACGGTAAACCAGCCGCCAGCATATACATGTACACGTACATGTACATATACATTCTATATGCTTATATATATATATATACAAAATCTATATGTTATAAATAATCTATATGCTTATATACATTTAAATAATCTATATGTTTAATCATATACATTCAACTAGTCTATATTTGTTGTGTATATATATACACAGTATATTCGTATGTTTCTATATACGATCATATACAGTACGTATTTATGTGAGTTGACCCATCAAAAAATGAACAAACAACTGGAGTGGCCTCCATCGCTGGGTAGAGCTCGCCTGTCGCTGGGCCCCAAACTCCCAAAGGGTTGAACGTTTCCAGCTCATCGATCTGCGGATGACCCCGGCTGCGGAGTTTACGTTTCGGTTTAGGCGATGAAAACTGCAGGGGTTTACTAGGTCAAAAGCTCCAAAAAAAGCGATACAGAGGTTCTAAATAGTTGTTAAAAATAGTTATTATAATATCACACTATTATACATATAGTTGCTTACTTATCATATGAATATCTCCCACTTATTTCAGAGGATATAAGGTTTGAGGGTGGGTGGACATACCTACCATGTGTTTCACCGTCATTTACTCAGAATGCCTGGGAATCTTTCTACAGTAGGTGCCCGCCCATGATTTAATGGGCAGTTGATCTCCTGCTGGAGAGAAGCCCATATCATATTGTTGCTATATCCCATAGTATTCCAATGATATCCCCATATCATATCTCCATATATCTCCGCTATTTCCCAGTTGTAGATTCATAGGATTTTCTGTATAATTATGTATATATCCCAGCTATTGACTTATTGCTTATTGCAGTTATAACTCGGGTTATAGCCACTTTAGTTGTTGGTGAAATCTCCCATTTCCTTCCAAGTTCCACAGACCCCCATTTCGACCTCCACCACTGGAGATCCCACGGTAAGAAAATTTGGCTGGTTACCCGTTCATCAGTTCCCATTCAGTCGGCTCTAATTTATCACAGGGTTACAACCACCATACAACCACCTAAATGTTACAACTGGGTTATCCCATTTTGTTACTAGGGTTTATCCCACTGGAAATATATCCCAGTCGGTTATATATATATAACTAGTTACAACCCCACTTACTCACCACCTGTGATTCGCGGGATCCAAGGACAGTACAAGGCCTTCACTACGCTGGTCCTTTTGATCTCCTGCGACGTGAGTTTCGACCATGGTGGGACAAGACGTATCCAATGCATCCTGGGGTTCATGAGATCTATGATCTTATAGTTAATAGTGGGATATGTGGTAAAAATAATGTAGTTTATAGACGTTTATAGTGGGATAATATTTGATAAAACGTGCAAATGGGATCTGTGATATGAACTGAGCACACATGTGGGATATTTGGTAAAATATGAAGCCAACAACATGATATTGGCGTTCACTCTGTCAGTCTCTAGGCATTTTCTCAGGATGTTGGGGCAGGAGTTGAACATTTTCCACGGCCCGAAGGGAATCTTTCGACGCGGCTGACAGGCTGCCCGGCCCCCAAAATGGCATGATTTGCTGACATTTGCTGCCATCATGGCTGGTGAAACCCAGGCGTTTCTTGCTTCCCTGGTGACCTTCGCAACACGCTGATGAACTCCTCAGGTAAACGAACATCGAGGGTTGAAAGTCTTTGTTGGGTGAATCATGCTGACGTGTTTCCTGCAAACCCTTAGAATATCAAAATTGGTATCATATTATATATATATCCCCACTAAATATCCCTAAATCCCAATGTTGCTGTTAGATGTGTTTGATATGTTCTCATGCACATTTGAATCCCAAATCCCTGCAGACCCCCCCCATTCCTCTGCTGAAAAGTACATGAACCGCACCTGTGACGCCTGTTTCTGGCCGAACTCGGCTGGGGGGAGAAAATCATGTTGAAATCATCCAACTCTTCTACTGCTCAACATCAACTTCAAGATACTTCAAGATGATAATCCAACATAATGGAGAATCAACTTCAAGGTACTTCAAGATGATGGGCATATTATGGAAAATCAAATGGTAATCAACTGAAACATATATTCACGAGTTGAACAGCAAAGGTGAGGTAAGTTGGCTAATTTTAATCAAATATAACGCTTAAAAATGTCAGGTTATGGTCTGGCTCATAGTCACATCTTCATGATTATCTGGCATGATTCTGGGCACGTCCAAATCCAATCAGAATTCACGGATTGGGAGCATCCCTTCCGAGTCTCCATTGGCTGCACCGTTGAAATCTGAATGGAACCGTCTTCAACAGTGGATCCGGTTTGAAAAAACCTGCTGTATATTTGATATTTATATATATATATTATACGTATTATATACGTATTATATATATATATACACGGTACATACATATATATATATATATAATGCGTATTACACACATATACATATTACACATATATATATAATTATACATATATATATATATCTGGTTGGTGGTTGACCTACCCCTCTGAAAAATATGAAAGTCAATTGGGATTATTATTCCCAATATATGGAAAATATTCCAAACCACCAACCATATATAATATATATAATTATATATATATATATCGTAGATATGATTTATTTATATTTAATGGGTTTGTCCGAAGATAGTTCCCATCATTTTCCCTATTAAATGGCAACATGGCCACAAGTAGAGGGTAATTCTGATAATCAATGGCTTAATCTACTCCAACTTCAAGAATAAGAATAATGGAGTATGCATATATTCAAAAAAGATCTATACAGTATATCATCCCATAGCACATTCATGTATATAAATATATATATACATATTATTATTATTATTAATGATAATAACAATAATAATGATAACAGTAACGGTAATACTGATAATGATAAAAATAATACTAAAGCAATATATATATATATATGTATGTATAATACACATCATTAATCTCCATGAACCATCTAAAAAAATCCCCGCACCAAGGCCCCAAGGAATCTCCCTTAACGAACCCCCCTTTCGGAGTCGAAAACGCCTCGCGGCTGCAGGAGGAGACGGGTAAATCATAGGGCGTCTGATGCTCCATGGCGTCCCCTGGGTCCGCTGGGCTTTCAACCCACGGGGGATCCCCTGTCGCTGGTTGGTTTAGAATGGAACATCCCATGAAAATAACCATTCTATAGATGATTTATAGATGATTTATAGAGGTACCATATGGTTAAAATAGCTGGTTTAGATGATGTTTTTGGAGGTACCCCCAATGACTTAGGAAACCTCCATCAATTGGTTAACTAGGGTTTATATATCGGTGGTATTAATCTATAGTGAAAATAGACATGAATCATCATTGTCCAATGGATTTAGAGGTACCCCCCGAATTTTAGGACACCCACATTAATATGTGTAAAACATGGTGTAACCAGCAAATGTGCCATGAATAGCAAATCTGGGATTCACGTGTTGGTCGAACTCACTTATGTGCTTGGTTGAAAACAAGGAGATTGCTCCCTTGCTTTATCTTACTTTAAATTGTCTCTTCTGAAGTGCAATTTGAACTGCTTCCCCGACGAACTGAATGATTCAACTAGCAATGTAAATAATTAATTGTCCAAAGAATCCTACCGGTCCTACCAATCCTGATTGCAGCTCACCCATTCACTTCCGGGCCGTTCTTCTACTGTATAGATGTATTCTAAAACGAAAACATCCATGCAAATGAGTCCAGAAGACTCAAGACAAAATGGATGAGCTGCTTCAAAGTTGATTTTACCACCTACTTGGATTTCGCTCTGGGTATCCATTTTTAATGTCCGATACTCAAACATGGCAATGGACAATGCCCTGTTTAAGGAAAAGATGTTTCCGTGAAACCCTCCATTTCTACAGGATCTTCCCAGCTCGCCATATTTGATTACAGAAGGGTAGCTAGTTTTTCACTGCAACAGTCTGTTCCCAAACTGCAGCCGGAGCTTTCCCAATTGACTAGCCGAAGCACCTGTTCCGACGCTCAAAGCTCGGTCGCCATTAGAATCTCTCAGGGTTTCCTGAAAGCTGTGCCGATTTTCTTGTTCAAAGATGGCTGCAACATGTCCAAATGTCCAACTCAACCAGTGGACATGCCAAATGTTCATCTCGACTCTGGACATTGCCAAGGGGTGGCTTCCGAGGATTCGGTGTCGATAGTCTTCCTGAGGCCCGTGGAGATATGGAGTTCCCCTGTGGTCTGGGTCTTTGTATCTTTCTATAGCCCACTATGTGTAGATTGCCATCAGGTAGGGAAAGGACAAATCTTTGAAGTCCACTCGTTCACTCGTTCGAGCCAATCGCCGGCAGCCACAAACACAGAACTGTGCCTATGAAGGACACATACACCTGGGACATACTTCGAACAGCTTTGTGAATCTCTGTTTTCGTGTTTTCGCCCAAACAACATCGTTATTCCAGGATGTTTATCAAAATTATACATGCTAACTACATGAAAACTGATAATTTGTAACCTTGTGTTGCAACGTGACAAACACACCTGATGCTCCATTTGTGGTGGTTTTACCTGTGAAAAATATGAGCGCGTCAATCGGGATCATTAATCCTGGACATGTAGAGATGAACAAGATTTTGTGACAACCACCAACACCTTTTTAGTGGCTCATATCATTTCATATCCATTTAATTCCATTTATATCATTTACATTCCCAAATGGGTGCTTAATAAACTCTCTGTTTATGATAAATTATGGCTCTGAACTATCAAAAATTGAAACCAACAAAGAATCACCCAGCCCGCTCCAATGCTACCTGGGAAACCGCATCGCTCTATTTCTCTTTGCTCCGCGACAAAGGTCACAGGCAGATTGACTGAACCTGATTGGCCGCGGCGATCAGTGGCACTGGCGCAGTTGATGAAGAGCGTTTTGGGCTCTTGAAGCGAACCATAGCCTTAGAGCACCAGCGCGTATGCCGTGTGCGTTTGGGTCAAACCATTGTGTATAGCTTATGGATGTTTATGGTCTCATATTTCAAATCACAACGGGAAAAAAAACAATGCATTGATGACCATGGCACCCTATGGGCTTGGACCACTGATGGCCATCTCAGGTATCCGAGATACCAAGATTTTTGGGACCTACTGCTCGTGGATTCAGAGGCAGAAAAATATCAGGATCTCTGGTTTAAGAAGTCATCGATAATATATATATATATATATATCAATATTGATTACTTTTAACATCATCAATTACTGGTTGGTGGTTTTAACCATCTTGAAAAATATTAGTCAATGGGAAGGATTATCCCATATATTGTGGAAAATAAAATATGTTCCAAACCACCAACCAGATGATGTATAGATATCTGATGAGAAGTAATGTCTGATGATGTAAGATCATTTTTGCATGATTTGCATTCCTTGACATTACATGCTCAGTCAGAATTTACCGGAACTGCTGTTGCAAAAATGACTAGGGCATCCAGGACCACCAAGCCACAAAAGGGCAAGCTTTGATCAACTATCAGAAACCTAACAGTTTTCATCAACCATCAATTGAGTTTGCAAATTTCATCGACCATTAGTTATCACAGGCCTAAGATGTACTTCTGTAATTCTCAAACTCTCACTTTTGAGCCATATCCAGGATCCTTTCCATACAATGAACACCTATGTTTGTGGCTTAAAAACCTCCTGGTTGTCTAGTTCACTCCAAAATAGCTACTAGTCGGATGTCACACCAACATAGCTGGTCTTTGGAAATATGTGGGTCCAAACTCCGGCGGTTTATCATCCGACCGAGGCACCTGGATGCACATGTCCAAAGGCATGCACTGCTGGGGCGCGCCTCCCATACAGCACTTGGCGCAAGATTTCGCAGCCTAGGCGTTGGATGGCCACGGAAGTCAACCTTAGTGAATCGCCCCAGTTCCTAAGTGGCTTAACCCCAGTATACACCACGTATGAGTGTAGGATTGGTCCACTTATAGCTGGGGCTGGGGTGAACTAAGGCACTAACCGGGGTGAACCGCCAAGTGCGATAGCAACCAAAACCCATTGTTTCTGGACGTGTGCTTCTAGATTCCCTGGCGGGATTGAACTTGGGAATGGCTTTTAACCATGGTATACCATTGTTTTTCATGTTTGAATTAATTCATTCTTCAGAAATTGCCTGGCCGGACGGCTGGGTTTTGTGGTCATCTTGAGAAACACCCCAACCATCATCCCATTACCATCCCATTAGGACCATTAGGAGATGTGGAGCGATTCGAAACAAGCACATCTGTTTCTCATCAGGACATATCAACATGTAGATGGGTATGATAGTATGATAGGTAGCACAATGTAGCACATATTTCAATCTTGGACCACTTGAAAAAGCAAACACCCGGCAAAACTATACACCCGAAAACAACACATCTGCCCAGCGCAGTGTCTCGCACCTATGTGTTTCTTGCGCTTCCCAGCATATTGGGTCTCATCCATGATCTGGTGTGGAGGAGTGTGCGTGATCAGCACATCAACATCCTTTGGAATCTTCTTCCACTCCTGGAAAAAAAAAACTGACTCAATGAGGTGGGCAAAATCAATTAAAATCAATTAAACAGATGGAAAGTGGATGAAAGTGGTCATTCTTGAGGTTCCACCTCACATTTCTGGTGGCCAACATGGGCAAAAGCGACCACTTCCAATATTCTGCTGTGATTTGGTTCAAGGAATGTGGGCAGGTCATCAACATGGCTTGCGACTCACATTTTTCGGAGGGAATCCCAGAATTGGCGAGCTCGCGAGCAAAAAACTCAGGGAACTTTTGGATATTGGATCCTCTTCCTGGGGATATTGGATGCTTAAGAAAGAGGGTATCCTGATGTATCCTGTAAATTGAACCCGTGCGGAAAAAGCAGCTCCTCCTTCAATTCTTGACCGCCACGCCTGGCAATGACTGCAGCCCCAGAAAAAGGATATCAACAATTATCCTATGTGCAACACGGGGCAACAACTGGGCGCAACAACTAAGATCAAAAGATGGGTCGGTATATCATATCTTGCTTATTTTAGAAATGAAAAAAACACCCAACTATATAATTCATTGACGGAGGGTTGTTACGATGTCATTACTGTATCCACCGCGAGGAAACAGTGCCCGGTTGTAGCTCAAAATAAAAGGTTGAAAATGGTCTGAAAAGTCAACAACAACAAGAAGACAACAACAACAACAACAACAACCAACAACCAACAACCAACAACCAACAACCAACAACCAACAAACAACAAACAACAAACAACAAACAACAAACAACAAACAACAAACAACAAACAACAAACAACAAACAACAAACAACAAACAACAAACGACAAACGACAAACGACAAACGACAAACGACAAACGACAAACGACAAACGACAAACAACAAACAACAAACAACAAACAACAAACAACAAACAACAAACAACAAACAACAAACAACAAACAACAAACAACAAACAACAAACAACAAACAACCAACAACCAACAACCAACAACAAACAACAAACAACAAACAACAAACAACAAACAACAAACAACAAACAACAAACAACAAACAACAAACAACAACAACAACAACAACAACAACAGTAGTCTTCTTTGAATTTGGTAGCTCGGACCATGTAAGTACCTGAAACGACTCCCAACACACTTTTTTTTAAATCAAGGTGTGTCACATTGTGTCACCCTCTCCATCCGCCGTTGAAAACCCTCCAACTTTTCAATCCTGCAACCCGAGACTGATTTAAGAAAGCTACATGGCTAAATCTATGTTTCCAATATTTTCCAATATGCTAAATATGTATGGTAGATTTACCGACGTTAACCCCAAAAAAATGGCCGAGGCAGCTGCCCCTGAGGCTAGTGCATCCGTCCGAACGCCATTTCTGTCCTGGCGAAAACGGAAGTGAAATGGTGGTAGGATGGGTCGATGTCACCAAAGTCCAGAACTCAAGAAGATGTTTCCATAAATGGATGGTTTATAAGGGAAAACCCATGAAAATTGATGATTTGGGGGTATCCCCACTTTAGGAAACCTCCATATGTTTATAATAATATACGTGTGTAATAGCCAGAACACAACAATGATAATCAAAATAGAATAACAATGACATGACAATGATTTAGAAATGATACAACCATGAAATAACAATGAAAGGCCAATGACATGACAAGATCAATTCATGGTATAATTTATAACCATTTCTAGTAATACTAGGGGAAAACACCTCCATATTTGCCCGCGCCTTCCGACCAAAGTCTTCTTGACATGTTGCCTTCAAATGTGTGCAATATCTCTCAAACAGCACTTACGTTTCCTGCGTTTCTTCTTGGGATAAGTGGGTTAATACCTATCTATATGTTAGACAATATATCTATCTTGTCATGGTGTGTATGTATATAATACGCTGTATATTCCAATTCAATAGTTTGACATGTCGATGGTAACATGCATTGTACATAACTTCAAACAGTCTTTACTCATACAGATTCCTGTTCCCTGCGCACCGACTGCTTGGCTGCGCAGGCTGTATGGGGCTGCCATAGAACTTCACTCCCGCAATGCTGCAACTGGTTCCATGTAAAACCTGGGAAGAGTATGGAAGAGTGACATGTTAAAATGGAAAGGAGTCCTTTTATTGAAATATTCAATTCATATCTATTCTATATTCTGTTGGACAAATCCAGTCGCTTTCTCTATCCCTGTACACTTGTAAATTGACCAGAGGCCCTATGAATTAAGCAGTATCTGGATTTGGCACACCATGTATCCTTGAAAGCAACCGGCCAACCCTGTCTATGCCGCAGATTCATTGACAGTAAAACCAGGCAATCGGCTGTCTCGCTGCCCTGAAACTCATGGTGCGGCGCACCTTGATATAATATCGTTTTGCTCTGTCTGTGTTTCCCCATTCAAAATGAGAAAATGAACATTTCGGTTGACGCGAGAAGCTCATCTTTTCGAGAGTTGACATAATTAGTAATAAACCATAGTTTGTGAATGGATGCTTCAAAGAATGCACGGCATTCTTTCATTTTTGTCACACGAGTGTTTGTTTTCCACAAGCATCCAAAAATCAAAAAAATATTCTCCACCAAGCACTGTGCCTCGAAACCAGCTGCTTGAAGCATCCGATAGATCTCGCTGGAAGACTGGCGTTCACTATGCCATTCCTGCGTCGCACTCGTCAAGGCCAGGAGAAACACCCGAGTGTTACCCTGGGGTAAACTAACATGCAGTAAATATGGAAAAAAACCACTTCGTTTTCATCTATTTAAAAATTGGATTTTCATGGATTTGTCATACGTGAATTTATTGCAGAAGATATCCCACCAGCCTTCTTGCTGAGATCCAATGTGTTTGCGGGATAATGCTACAAACAGGCGTCTCGTATTGCCTGGACATTGCAACGAACTATCCAGGATATCAAAATTGATGATCATGATTATGCTTATTACTATATATATATATTACTATTACGTTTATGCAGGAAATACTAGCATGATTTTGCGAAATCGTCTAACCAATCAGTACCCTTTTGCTGTTCGCTTGTTAGCTGTTGGTGTTGCAAAGTTGTTTGCAATTTCATCCTTGCATTTTATGGTTTATGTCTTCATTGTTGACATCCAAGATCAGCATTTATAATATATGTTTAAATCATAACACCACCAATAATCACCAATATATATATATATATATAATTAGTTAACAAATCTGTGGCAAGAATTAACAAAAACTGTTCTGTCCGAAAAAGTCGGGATAAAACCCTATGAAGGTGATGGTTTGGAACCGCATTTGTCCCCATGAAGGGTTGAGGCCCATAGCAACGTGAATCTCCATCCGACTCCGTCCTTCCAATGTTCCCGGTACCACGACTCGTCGCATGGCAAATCGTGGTTGCCGCAAACCTGAGAAAAGCGCGGAGTGAAAGTTGGGCGATCATTTTGGAGATAACCAGAAAACCCCATAGAAAACCCATAGAAAATGGTCTCCCCATAACCAATCTCCCAAGAAGTGTTCGAAAACCCATAGAAAACCATCACATCTGGCTGAAGACTTTGGTTATTTTGGGATGGTTAGTGTTACATTTTACCATCAGTCCAGTGACGTCACAGTGGAGGTCATTGTCTTCCAAGGGTATTGGACTTTCACTGTGAAAGGAAACAATCATACAATTGGAGAGAAGCAAGACCTAGTCACCTACCTCAATCAGATTTACCGCATGGAAACAACGAACCAAGAAATCTTGCTCATTTTGGATCCCCCTGCCAGTTCTCTGGGTGGTTTCCCTATGCAACCAGCTACAGTAACAAATCTAGGGTGCGGTGTTGTAGACCCTAGGTCAGCTTCCCTCACTGCATTTAGGCAATCTTCAACAAAAAATAATGCTAGTTCTTGTCATTCCGGATTTTCTTTGCAATCTTCTACCAACAAACTGCGTAGAAATTCCCAAACCTTATACCAATGCAGAATGCAGGATGAAAAAACCGCTCAAAGCTGTACGCTCTCCACGTTACGCTGAAACCATTCACCGGTTTATGCATGAAGTGTATTGGTGTAGTGGAACATCTCCAATCACTGTTTGCACCCTGTGGTCCATTGTTTTGATCGACTTTATCTCAAGATTGGGTTTTGTTTCCCCCCTTTTCTGTCAAGATACGGGGTTCGGGCGATTAATATACGTATATCGATGTCATCACTACCTGAAAAGAAAAATCTCTGAAGCATTGCCGGGCACTAATACTTCTGTTATCAACAACACGCGAGGTTCTTCCTTTAGGCTACGACGTCAGGTAGCTTGAGGCATCCCCCCAAGATTTGATGTCAAGAAGGACCGCTGGTTTCCCCAGTATCCAAACGTGAAATTGGGGCGTCGCTAATTACCATATTTTCAGATAAACCTAGAGGCGTCGTATTTTGTGTTCATTTAAAAAAACTATACATATTGTTTCCCTGTATGTTTGATGGTGAACCCTTAAACGTTCATTGTTGCTGGTTAAATATCCATGTGTCCCTAGTTAAACAACCATGTTTGTTTAGTACAATCAATGTTCTTGATATTTCAATCCCTACAGTATTCAATCAGTTTTTCCCTAGTTGAATAATATAATGTTAAGTCACCATTCCCTATCAAAACCCTATCAGATCACCATTTTGCCTAATTAGTAAAGTACCCACATGTTGGCATCTTTCGGTATGCTGAGACGACCGCTCTGCTCCAAGGCGCCAACAGCTTGTGAGGAAAGGACAAGGACTTTGCCCAATCGCAAAAGTCGCGACATTCCTGTGATCCACAGCGTGGCGAGCAACGGCAAACGCAAGGAATAAAGGAAATGCATGGCACGAGATGACACCATTCTGTAAATATATGTCTACATAGATACTATGTGTATTGATATACATCCAGTATACAGGTTAACTATAGATAATAATAAAAATAAATATATAATAAAATGTATGATAATATAATAAAATATAATGCATACAAAATCATATAATATAATATAAAACATAACAAAACATAATATACTATAATATAATAAATATAAAATATAAAATGATATAAGATAAGATAATATAGTTTATAACATAGCAAAATATAGAATATGATAGAATAAAACAAAACAAAATATAATATAATATATATAACATAAAATAATATAATATATAACGTAAAAATAATATATAACACAACATACTATAATATAAAATAATATAAATCATAATATAGTATAATATATAACATAATAAAATATATTATACAACAAAATGAAATAATGTATAACATAAAATAAAAAAATATAAAACAACATATAATACAATATAAAACATAATAAAATAAAATGCAATATAATATAATATGTAACAAAAAATAATATAATATGATAAAATATACTATATTATAATATAATATAAAAAAATGTAATAGAATATAATATAACATAATATATAATAATACAATACAATATATAACATAGTATAATATAATATCATATAGTACACATAGAACATGGTATAAAAACAAAATGTAATATAACAAAATTGAATAGAATAGAATCAAATAGAAAAGAATATATATATATATATATTTTATAGTAATTATACAATGTAATATATGCTATAATCATATAATATAATAAAATAACATAATCATATAATACAATAAAATAGAACATAATATAAATATAGTATAATAAAATAGAACAAAATAAAATATAAAATAGAATATAATACAAAATCATAGAATAGAATAGAACAGAATAGAATAGAATATATACCTTTGTGTCCGTATATGTCTCTGTATATATATATACAGACAGTGTACAGTAGATCCTGTATCTACCCCAACAGCCAGCAGAATATCGCACCCAGTCCTCCTCTGTACCGTTGTTCGTAAAATCTCCGCAGTGAATGAGTACATCCTTGGAGCGTGACTACAGGTGGTTGAACCACCTCCCCTGAAAAATGGGAGCGAATGTCACTTAGATCATCATTTCTGGGGTTCAATATCAATATCATTCAATGTCAACATGTTTGAAACGAACCGCAGGATCATCATTGGTTGTATCCCCATGATATCTGTCCATGTTATCATCATATTTTTCCTAGCGAAATCTCCAATGATGGAACTGGTGAAAATCCAAAGACCACACCACTTTTGGCTGGTGATGTCATTTGACTGTTGGAATCTGACCCAGGAAGGGTGAATTAAGGAATGCATGCTTTTCCCATTAACATGAACATCTCCATTTATATATAGGGAATTTTCCCATGATTTCATACGTTTTCCATGGTTTTCCCGCATGTTCCTGGGATTTTCTAACTTTTTAAAAGATATTTGCCAGCTAGCCATGTTAGATGACACCGGAGGGACCCCATATTCTGGTGTCAGCTGCTTGTAGATTTTATTTTTTTTCCCGAATGCGTAGCAAGGGTTCCCGTGTCACTCTGGGGGTCTGGGGGTTGAGGATGTGTTCGCTCGACGTTGCGCAACCCTTAGCAACCGTCCGCAAGTGTCCGTGTGAGGGCCGTATGGCCGTGCCTATTGTAAGTTCTGCAACAGGGGTCACTTTTGGAGGTTTCCAGCGTCGCGTTGCTTCGTTTCGCGTGGCAGGGGTGGCACTTCGTGACATTCAGACGTGTTTCGTAACTTGTCGAAAGTGGTTTTGTGTGGCAGGCACAATACTTTTGCGTCGTTTTCAGAAAATGCATTGCAGATCATTGCAGTTTTCGTGGCAGGCGCAGCACTTTAACGACCTCCATCGTCATTTTGCGTAGCAGGCCGAGCACTTTAGACGTGATTAGACGTGTCGTGTTGCGTGTTTTTGCGAATCGTATTGTCAGGGCTGCGTCAAGTGGCGACAACGTGCTGAAATATGACGGAAGCCTCGTGCGAAACATCGATTCGATTTTGAGGTAGCAAATTTCGAGGTTCATAAGAAAACTCGTTGGAAAACATCGATTTTGAAGCCACAAAGTGTCAAAATTGGAGGAAGTCTCGCACGAAATGCTCGTTTTGATGCTCCAACATGTCTCGTCTCGAGTCTCTGGTTTTCCTCTGGGTTCGCCGTGTCTATAGGGGAAGCTGCAAAACCTATCCTTTTTGAAGGTGTCAAAATCTGGTTGTAATGCCGTTTTGCGAGGCAGGCGTGGCACTGTTGCATCGTTTTCAGAAGATGAGTTGACTCTACATAATATACACTCGACACTTTACACTTTACACTTTCCACTTTACACTCCACACTTCACACTCCACACTTGACACTTTACACTTTCCACTTTACACTTTGCACTTCACAATCCCCACTCCACACTCTACATACAACATTCCCCACTCAACACCCCACTTTCTTCACACTCCAGACTTTGCATTCCACCCCATTCCAGATTCCACAGTCTACAGAGCACTGGTGCGGTAACAGGGGGAAAAAGTACAAGACTTTTCAAATAATTTGTTTCACAAAGTGCTTTACGTGACGGCATTCGGGTTCGTGGGCTGAATCTGGTTCATCCATTAAAATAACACTGCGTTGCTTCCGTCACCAATCTGAGAAAGCATCCCGCTTTCCATTGGTCTTCCATACCCCCTGGCATTTTTTCTTGCATAGCTATTGGTCATCACCAATTTTAAGGCCTAAACCATCGAATCAAATGAGTCAAACCACCGATCCGCCGGATTTCCGTGGCAACATCTTGGATTTGCTGCTTAAGGACCCACCCAAGAAAAAGAACATATTTCCTATAGATCTTATAGATTCCCCAGTCGTAGTGGATTTATGTGGATTTCCCAGTTTGGGAAAATAGAACATCACCTTAGATCAACCTAAACCCAAGGCAAATTTTGCGCCGTCGCGGGGACACCTTGCATCAAAGTCGTCCCAGGCACACCTGGGGGGAGCTCAATCTTCCAGTGGAGCATATGCGTATCGGAAATTGCCACCTTGGCCAACGGTGTTTTCTGCATGTTTCTGGGGGTTGCGGAGTGAAACAGAGTGAAACTGCTAGAAAACAGCTATAAACTAAGTACAGGAATCAATTCGACCCACAAAAAAAACTTCGATGAGTTCCCTCTTGGGGATAGCCCAATCTGATATTCTCTTAACTCTAGATACTCTAGAATGATTGTATGTTCATTTCATCTCAACCTTGAAACCTCCAGCCTCAAGCTTGAGCTTACTACCTGCTACTAAATACATTGCACATTTCTTTTTTTAAAGATTGAAATAGCCAATAACCTACGGATTTTTTCTAAACATGGAACCAATAAAAATGATGACCATCGGATGCCCTCTCTGAGTCTCTATTTCTGATCTGTCGGTGGCTACTACCTGATCGGATTTCTCGGAGTCTCATACCTCAACCCACCCACAAGATCCGCATATATATATGTATATAAATATTATAAATAAATATATATATATATATTGTGTATATATATATATAATATATATATATATATGTGGAGTCCCATAATGTACTATATAATATATATATATGGGATAAATATGCGTATGGGTCAAATTGAAGGCCAGACCCCAGATCTTGGCTTAGTCTGAACCATATCCAATTCAGGAGGTATCCAATTTTAAACCACCCCATCTACTGTAGATTGATGAATATGTATGCCACCACTAAAACTCCTGGCTTTCAGACACCACATTCGCGCTACACGGTTCCCCACGAGTTATAAGTTGCTGCAAGTTGGTTTATAAACTCCATTTAAGTATTTTTCTAATTACCATTAAACCCTATAGTTGTACTGTAGTTGTGTTCCAACTTAGCTAACTAGGGGGCACCCACCTATCTTCCGTCTCTTCCGAGGCACACAGCGTAGCCTTCGTAGCCTTCCGTCTCCAATCTCGCTGGAAATGGCCTGGCAACAATGCCATAAACCACCCATGACTGGGCATGGTTTACACCACCTATTTATGGTGAATTACCATCTGGTAAGCTACCATAGCTATTGAAAATGGCCCATAGAAAAATGGATTTATGGCATTGTTTTACTTACATTGTATTAGATGGATGGAAAATAGATGAACATATATGAACATAGAACATGTTGGAAGCCACCAACCAGAAGAAAAGGAAAAAACACCAGTGATGGAAAAAAAAACATGTGCGGTGAAGGGTGACACAACTGTGTTGAGAGATATATGCCACTAGCAGGCATGGACACTCCAAGGATTGCAAGATGTGGACATGATCCACGTGATATCCTTGCACGATTATCACCTCAATATCAATATATAATCAGAGAACGCATCGAACGCGCCTGTTCACGCGTGGTGCTCCATTGGCTGGCTCAATACAGAGACCGAGCTGCACAGAGCAGCTGGTCCCGGAATGACCAGCTGGATGAGCATACTTTGGCATTGAAGTATGCTCATCAACGAATTTGATACAGTTTGATCACTTGAAGAAATATGTGTACTACTATGTAACTATGTACTTCAATATCCAAGTGGCCGTCAGAAAGGCCCCAGGATGTTTGTATCTCTTTGGATCGCCGGGTTGATCTCGGGGAGGTCCAGGACGTCCAGATATCGTGTGATGGGCGATGGCAGGGCCACCTATTGGGGCTCCAAGGAATCTATTCCCCAACTGGCTGAAGTCAAAAGTGCATGACCCCTCATTTTAAACTGTGAAAAATATTAGTCAATGGGAAGGATTATCCCATATATTATGGAAAATAAAAAATGTTTGAAACCACCAACCAGCAAAGTTGTTTGTCTTTGTGAGATGGTACTGGTCCAAAAAAAATACAACGTTTTCATGGAGATTCTCTTGGAAGTTGACCTTGCTCAATATGTATGGCACTTACTTGGGATCCCAAGGTGACAACAAAACACACACCATGCGTCATTCCAAGCAACTCGTCTGAGAAGAAGCTATCCTTCATGGTTTTTCGCGCTGAGTTCTCCAAGCACCAGGCCAATGTCAAGTTGAGGCAAACCAATGAGACCAAGCATCACCTGGCGCTGCGACTGCGGAGGAACTTGGGAATTTGCCATCAATGGCAAAGTGTAACCCCAAGCCTGGGGGTGAACTCGCCACTTCTCATTGTGTTGAAAATTGGTCATCTTCGAGCTGTTTCGGGAAGTCCTCTCGAAATATGCTTGGCATAGGTCAGAAGCACGTTCTAAACAACAAGAGACAAGAGTCCAGTCGGACCCTCCAGTTTTTTGGACACAGGCTATACCACATAATGAATTGCGGCCACATCCTCATATGCTTGTGCGCAACAGATCTTCATGACTTTATGATCTTCTTGTTACGTCCATAATTCCCGGTGTTTCTGGTTCAAACTTCTCTCCATCTTTTGTTCAAACCTCCCCTTATCTTCGTTTGTGGTTTTCGCCTTCCGCCTCCACCTCTTAATCATCATATTAATTAAACCATTCCCTATCGGTAATTTGGGGTGGGAGGGGGGTGGGACCCTGGTTTAATTTCTTTAATTAAACGGGGTCCCCTGCAGTATGGTTTTTTCCAAAATTTGTCAGTCAAACATAACCTCCGTTTATTTTTAACATAAGAAATTAATCCAGAAAACTTCCAGTTAAGGTCCCACCCAGCATCCCCCAGCTAAAAATTAAACAAGCTACTCGGCAGTACCTGGTTTAATTTTACAGGATCATTGGGTTGATTTTGTTTTGCCAAGACCAAATATTAAACCACCTGGTTCTACACATGTCAGTGAGACTTGGTGTAGAACAGTTGCGCCCCCCATTGTGCTCCCCCAGGTGGCGTGGACCACTCAACTTTCTCAAATTAAACCCCATGGTTTAATTTTCAGCTGTTTTAGCTCCTGTGCTGCCCTCGTGTTCCGCCTCGGGATACTGCAGCCATGGTTCCTGACATGTGGTCCTAGCACAGGTCGTGAAGACGACCCGGCGTGGACAGCAAGGTTTGCAGTTGGGAACAGCATTGCTGCAGCCCAAATGCTCTATCTCAAGCAGAGCAAGTCCATGGGAAAGGCGCTGCGGGACCATGGATCATGGTAAATTGTTTCTATTTGTTTCGGGCCCCTTGCGTGACCCCAGATCAGGTCAGAATAATTAATCAAGGGGTGGGTGAGTCCATACGTACTGAACATTCATTCATCAGGACACCTTTGGCACCATAATATTCATGGGATTTATGGTCACCAGAATAATTAAACAAGGGGTGGGTGAGTCCACATGTACTGGGCATTCAGGATCAGTTCTTCCATTGGGGCACCCCCAACACCATAATATCATACAATATCCATGGCATTGATGGTCACCAGAATAATTAAACAAGGGGTGGATAAGTCCACATGTTCTTGGCATTCATAAAGATTCATGTATTGGGATACCCTTGGTGTTATCATGATTCATTGTTTTTTCTTGAATTTTCATCTTTGGTCATCACAAAGGAAGGAACATGTGACTCACCCACCCCTTGTTTAATTATTCTGGTGACCATAATCCCATGATATTATGGTGGGGCCAAAGGTGTCCTGATGAATGAATGTTTCAGTACGTATGGACTCACCCACCCCTTGATTAATTATTCTGACCTGATCTGGGATCACGCAAGGGGCCCGAAACAGATAGAAACAGTTTACCATGGTCCCGCAGCGCCTTTCCCATGGACTTGCTCTGCTTGAGATGGAGCATTTGGGCTGCAGCAATGCTGTTCCCAACTGTGCAAGAACCTTGCTGTCCACGCCGGATCGTCTTCACGGAGCTGTGCTAGGACACGTGTCAGGAACCATGGCTGCAGTATCCCGAGGCGGAACACGAGGCAGCACAATGAGCTAAAACAGCTGAAATTAAACCATGGGGTGGGTCACATCTCAAAATTAAACCAACTCAACTTTCTTCAGGATCTTAAGGAGGTGGGTGGACCCCCTGTTTTCGTAAGATTTTTTAAATTAAACCAAAAAAATTAAACCTAACTCAGTGTCCATCTGGTTTAATTTAGCTAGTGCATCCCACAATTAAACCGATTGCCTACTTACCGTTTTAAGGGACAGTTCCGTTCAAGTTTGTCAAAAACACAGAATTACCCAACTAAGGGCCAGTTGAATCCAAGAACAACAAATCTAGTGGGATTTTGCCGAGTTCCCATCAATTTCACTTATAATTTGTTGGGCAAACAGATGCCTAAATGAGGATCAACAGTGGCTTGTGGTATGTTGTGGTGGTTTCCAAATTCCCAATATGTTCAAGTACCAAAGCCATTTTCATCATTGTTCACCTTGTTTTCTTGTAAAATGTGTAAAACCAAACCATCATATGGCTGATTATGGACCACATGAGATTATCTCCCATCAAATATCACTGTAAAATTGTCGGTTTTATTACCCCATCACTTCTTTGATTAAATCCCATATCATTTTGGTTGTTATCTACCCGTTTTTCTCCCATCATATTCCCGTATATCGCCATGAAATCCCAAAAAACATCCCATGTTTAATCACCATTTTCGCAATTTTCCTATAAATCCATCATGATATCCCATATAATTCCCATATCATTCCCATATCATTCCCATATAAATCCATATAAAATCCCATATCTCACCATTTTCCATAGCCTTTTCCAAGGCCTTGACACCTCGCCCTGTCCCAGGCGCGGTCCGTCCGAGGCGCCGTGCGTCTCCAAGATCTGCAGCTGCTGCAGGTGGCACCTGAGGACCTGCGTCAGGTCGAAGGTCTCGCAGGTGGCCAGAGACACCTCGGCGACTCGCTGGCCCGTAACGGAGGTGTTTCCACGCAACAAAATAGAAAATATACCATGGTATCTATGGTTATATATATATATATACCATGTATATATATATATAACATGGTATCTGCGGTGAATTATATGTGTATAAATATAATATGTATATATATATATGTATATGTTATAGGGATTAGTATCATATATGGTATATAACCATAAGATTATATAAGAGTATACATGGAGGTTTCCGAAGTCATGGGGGTACCCCCAGTTATCATACGCTTGTTAGATGACCATCACTTAGTATTGAAACCTATGGTGACTTGGGGATTTAAGAAAGATGGGGTTAAGGAAGGGGTGGATGAAGAATGGGATGGAGATATTTTCTGGGATCTGATGAGACTACAATGATTTGATAGAATGGGTTGGACATGAACTCGTGACAAAATCTGACACATTTATATAGTCATAATATGTCATAATATGTCATAACATGTCATAATATGTCATAATATATGTCATATATTGTCATATAATATGTCATAATATGTCAATACTTTGGAAATTGAATGGGATTGATGTTTTGTCGAAACAGTATGTCAAAAACAGATGAAGATTAACAACTCATCAGTAAATATGTAAATGGGCTGTTTTCCAATGCGGAGTCCCGCAGGAGACAGGGGAAATCAGGAGAAAATCTGGGATGGAACTGATGAACATGCGGCGGAATAACTTGCGGAATTTTGGATGACACTTTCTTTGGAGATGGGGATGCAAGCAATAAACATAGGACTTTTGTTCAGCATGTTTTTGCAATAAACAATGGGGATTGACGGCTACCACGGAGCCTGTGTTGGATTCGAAAGGGTTGCAGCTTGGGACAATTGACTATTGATCTTTGTATCATTTCATATCTGCTACGGTCAAGTTGCATGGAATCCGGGAATGATTTATTATCTATGGGTTGTGGACATCCCGCCACAACATTGCGATTTTACCATTCGAATTTTCATGAATTTTCTATGTTCACTAAGTTTGCTAATGGTGGTATTTGCCCATCCCCCTTGGAGAAGTCAGCCATTCTCATGGCACTGGCATGCCACTGGCTGGCCGCCATTGTTTCTCCTTTTAAGGACTCATGGTTTCACCCTCTTTCACCCGTTAAAGGTACCCTGTGGCCCTATTTAACACCTTGCTTCAAGGACAATGGCCCAGAGAAATAGATGATTTATGATGATTGCCCTTTTATAGATGATAAACTAACATGATAGATTTACCATTAAAAGTTGTGATTGTCCAGTTCGCTTCTTTAAATAACCAAAACGTATCCAAAACGTATTGACCTATAAAATCAATGAATTTTCTGTGGAAATCATAGGTACCCAACAATTGACTTTTGTGGCTTGTGTTAATGTTCCTGCTCACTCACAATAGTTTGAACCGATCACTTATCGTCTTGATGGTGCTTAACCCATCCCCTTTCAACACAACACCACAACCTGTCCTTCATCGAAGTGATCTGAAACCACTAAGGATGGTTCTTCCCTTGCAGTGCCTTGCAGCATATCGTCAAATCATATCATATATCCCATAGGATCCATGGTGCTGGTATATTAATGCTAACATAAAGGGGGTATATTGATGGGATTCATGTTACCATATATAGCAGCACCATGGATCCTATGAGATATAATTACATCAAATCAGAAGTCAAACATACGAGCCGTAGCATCAACAATTTGGTCGCCCAAACAAGGGTCCCATCTTCTCATGCAGTACATGGGTATGAAAAAGCGGTATTAGCGCCATCTTATGGCCATTGAAATTCGTGACAATGATTTTCAAAACCCTTGGATTGTGGTGATTTCCCCTAAATTACCCAAGAAATCTATAGTTCTTGCTTCTCAAATCCAACTTAAACTCCTTTACCTGACCTCTTTTCATCCAGGGGCTTGCTGGTAGTTGAGCTCCATCTGAAAATGCCGTTCCTCCAATTTCTCTCTGGAGAGAATCGACACTTGGGCAGCTCTTGCCGCCGCGTCAAAGTGATGCGAATCATGTGGAGTTTCCAGTATCCCCATGGACAGGTACTTTCCTAAGTTGCGCGTTCGAAATGCTGAGATTCATCGAAATGCTGAGGTTTCGCAATCTGTGACTTGGGGGTACCCAAAAATATGTTTAAGTGAGTCAAACGCAATGATCCGCAACATCACTTACTCCATTGATTTGTTTGACGCTCTCAAAATGTTACTGGTAATTAAACATACCATCGGAAAGGTTGACCCACGGCACCTTTCTGTGAAAGTTTGTTCCGATGATCTTCCCAATCAGAATCTCCAATGGTTGAAGTGAACATCTACAGGGAAAACCCATCTTTGGAGGATCAAAACCCTTCTTTCCTGTCAAATGTTGCTTGAATAAATCATAATAAATCCATTGAAACTCAAGTTCTTCTTGTTTTACTCATAGTAAATCCCCATATGTCCAATCCGATTGGTGAAATATCACCATGATTTCCCGATCCAATTGAAACTAGGGACGATCTGCTTCGATTTCTTCAGAAACCTTGTATGGCAATCTGCAGGGCAAACCCAGGTACGGGTTCCTCGGTGGATCTCGAAAGCCCAGAACACGCTAAACGTCCATCGTTGAGATTTGTTTATCGCCAAACACGGGGAGTTTTGACCATCAACGATGGGAGTTTAAACGTTTAACCATCAAACATTATATATATACACATATGTATGATATTGTATGATGTATACATATACGCACCGAACCCATATATATATATATGTATATGTATATATCATATATACCTGTATCCTTGTGCGACCAATAATTAGCAGGTGTTTGAGTGAACGACCGCATTCTTGCGAAACGACCACTTCCAGGAAACCCACCGCAGCCATCTTCCAGGAATCTTCAGCTTGGCATCCCAGGACATCTCCAGGAACATTTTGGAAGATAATCTTCTAGAATGGTAATTTCCATTCAGTGAAATTCAATGCCATTGGGGAGATGCACACCTGTGAATCTTAATTGTTCATCAAATCCCGTCATGCCATAGTATCAATCCATAATCTCAGTTGCAATGTCTTCTCGAAATCATCTCAGCGGGAAGGTCTTGCTGGCTCAGTTGATTGAATCTCGACTTTACACCTCCGGCATTGTTTTTGAATCTAACTCCTTTTTTTTTAAAGGGCGCTTTCCCCATATTATATTGATTGGTCTCCCATGGACAGCCCTTGGCTGCATCTTTTTGTTCTTCGCTCGCACTGCCAGGTGATGGATCAAAGTAGCCTTGGCTGCTGCTGGTCGGGGAGTGCCCCATGGGTCTGGGTCAGGCTTATTAATAATGGCAGGGGAAAAAAACAAGTGACCTATACATTCTTCATTGGTGCCCCCAAGAAATGGCCCCAGGTCACTTTGGAAAACCGACTGTTGTGCAAATTGCAGCGCTTTTGGCTTTCCCTTTCCAGCTGCAGGGGTAGCAGCAATGGACCCAAAAGATTTTTCTTTTGTGGACTCGTGCTGGAAAGCTTGGGAGACAGTGGGGGAAATCCGGTCATCAGCCATCAAGAAGCAGAAGCTTATTCGGAATGAGAAAGCATCTGGTCTGATCCATCCCACACTACAAAACATCAGGTTCAACTATAAGCTCTTGAAAGGCTTCACCCAGCACATGGCCGCTGTTGGTGTCATTATGACAAAGAGGTTAGAATTCCTGAAGCCACCCATTGAGAAGTATTACCGGCAGATGGAAGTTGATACCTCAACAGAAGCAATGACAACAACAATTCATGGGGTGGGCATTCTAGTGAAGAAAATGTTGAGCGTGATCAAACGTAAATGGTCTCGATGGGAGATGCCAAGGGTGCCTAGACAGAAAACATCTTGAGTGATTTTTCACTATATACTGTAGTTTGGGAATGTGAGATGATAATGGGTTTATGTTTTTTTGGGGGAGAGCATTTCAGCAACACTAGGATCGGATGGTCAAGGACCTTGTGCTGGATCTAGCTTTAGCTTCTAACAAAGCCTGGGAAGATACTTGGCTACAATGTTCAGTTTGAGTTGCCAACTTTTGGAAATACCAAACAATTTACTGTCATGGCCCAGATTATAGTTTAGCATTTGGTAAGTTACACGTGTGAAGGATGGAAGATCTCCATTTCTTTTTGATGATGAAGCTGCTCCTGACGAGGGAGATATCAGTGACTTTAGTGTTCGTGAGTCGCTTTCCCGCAGCAATTCCTTGCTGGAAGCTGAAAGGGAAAAGGGTTGGGAGGAGCTCCAAGCTCTTGCTGACGAAATGGCCCGTGACAATGATCCCACTTTGACGCTTGATGGGCCTGATGATGACGTCGTAGAAGTCCCCATGCAATGTGGATATCCTGAAGTATTTCCTGATAGGCAACGCTTCCCGTCCAGTGAGTCTTCCCCGGCTGCTGCCCCCACGCACATAGACTTGGACTCTCCAAGCCCTGCAGCCCCTGTCACCCCACCAGCAGATCCGAACAAAGACAATCTCCTCAAGTTGCTTCAGATTGTGCAGGCCAAGGCATCGATCAGTAAAGCGGCTCCCAAGACTGAGAAACATGGTTAGTTTATGTTAGTCTCATATTGATATGTTATATGCTTTCATTTTTTCAATTTTCCCTTTGCTCCCCCTGTTTTCTGCCTCTAAATTCCACATGCCTACAAACATGTGCTTTATTACTGAGTGCAAGCAGTGGCCACATGTTCTGAGGACACCTCCGGTCTCTTCGGGCAGTGACGGGGTTGACATCGCAAAGGCCACAGCTATACGTGTGGAAAGAAGCAGTGCTTTGGAGCAAAACAGAGACCTCTTTTGATAATTTTGAGTTTCCAGCCAAGGAAAAGATAATTTCACATGGCTTTGTTTTTCTAGACACTGCACATGTGAAGTAGGTGCAGCCATTCCAACGCCTCATGAAGGGCACGTGGCGGTTGCTTTGGGTGAAGCACTCCGGGCATCGAATGCTGAGATTCGGAAGGCCCTTTCCCATTCTTGTCAAACATCCGTTTGCCGTATTATATCGAAATCATAATTGCATAATTGTATACGCATTTGAATACAAAAAAAAAATATACCCATATGTATGTATACATTTACATATGTGCCACATAAACTGCATATATAAATAATATCATATTTATATATATACGGTAATGACTTAAATATGTGGAGGGCGGACCAGACCGTGAGGCCCCGGAGGTAGTATGAAATACCTGTTCGTATATTTAAATGCATGTTTCGCTAGCACACCTACCAGACGCTGACTATCAAAAAATACGTATTTTATATAGTTGTACCACTTGCAAACTTTGGACCTATAGCCAAGGGTTGGGAAACATTTGCAGGACACCTCCACTGATGACAAGCTCGCAGCCCTGCTTCGTGATCAGCAGCTTGCATTGGCCAAAGCCAAAGCGAGAAAGAACTGTGGAGAGGGGGAGGCAGAAACAGGTGAGGGGGGGGATGAGGAACAAGGCCAGGAAGAGGAGGAGGAAGAAGAGGCAGATGATGATGAGACGGCAACCCCCAAACCAGGGCGCAGAGGAAAAGGGAAACCCAAGGGCAGGGCGAAAGCGAAAGCAAAGGCAGCAGGTAAGGCCAAGGCGGCCAAGGCAAAACCCAAGGCTAAGGCAAAGGCATCAGGCAAGGCCAAGGCAAAGGGGAAGTCGAAAGGTGAGGCCGATGGTGCAGGTGATGTATCGGGAAGTGGTGGAGGATCTAAGAGGTTGGCTGAAGGTGTTGAAGGGGAAAAACCTGAGAAAACTGAGAAAGCAACCTTTGCCAAGCGTTACAAACCGGGGCGCGACCCTGAAAAGTGGCTCCAGTCCCGTGCAGTGTGGATGAATTTCCTTTTTGACAAGCTCAAAAGCCATGTCACCATGGAGGAATTTGGTTCTGAAAAAACATTTCATGAGAAACAATCCTGTTAACCCTGTCAAGTTTCTTGGTGTGCATGTATGATTTGACAAGCTTGATTCCGATATCCCAATCAAGCCCTTACAGGAGGAATAGTGGAAGCATTGCGGGGAAGCCATGAAGGAAACGGGCGATGTATCAGTGATCACCACCAACCTTGCTCATGATTTCTTGGTCAAGCCTGAAACGCGTGAACGCATCCCATTAAATATAGCATGGTTTTTTTGGCCCCCAAGATTTATTCAAATACTTTGTCCGTTTTAGGGGTCAACATTAGCACTTCCACCGTCTGAATGCTGACAGGTGACATCTACACTGCGGTGGGCAAGCGCTACATCAGCGAGCTCCCGGTTCCATGAACATAGCGGTGGAGCACAGTTGCCTGGGTTTTTCCAGCAAGTCTGAGTGAAGGCACCCATCAGAAGTGCCGACAGCAGGTCAGAGCTTCTTTGGGCGTAGGGTGGCACTTCTGCTTGCACATGCATGTCTATATAGGATTGGGGTTGTTTGATGAAGTGCCACCTGGTACCCGGCGCCAATTTATGTGGCTAGGCTCTGCTTCAACATGTCACAGCAAGCTCAAACCCATGAGAGAAAAATGTTCCTGCTGCCTGGAACCCTCCAACCCAGTGCTAGAACATACACTATAGTTATATTCCCCTTCCATGATTTGATAGCTTAAACATTTTTCCAATCATTTTGTGGTAGAACCCCCCCTGGCTGCTTTCCAGGTACGTATGAACATCTTGGCGGCAACCGACTTCTATGATGATGCGGAGCTGCACCATGGTGATGAAGGCCTGCTGGGTCACAGGGTTGAGACAGCATACCTTTTGCAATTTCAAGGAATGACAGTTTTCACGTGTGTCCCTGGGGTTGAAACTATGCATGTGCCACGCAGCGTGTTTCATAGCTCAGGGCTGACCAAAAAAGGCAGTGACAGGATGCCCCGGAAACCAGAATATGTCGCTGTGCAGTTGCTCAAGCATGGATCACCAAAGGCCGGGCAACTGCCTTCAAGATCAAACGTATTGGATACACAATTTCATGGTTGGACATGTTACTGTCTCAAAAAAATAGTGGGGCCCCAAAGGCCTTATTTGTTTCAATTGAAAATGAATTTTGGGGCCCCTCTATTTTGAGATATTTCCTTATGATCCCATCCACCCTTGCCTTGCTAGATCTTCGTGCTGGCAACGCTGCTTTTGATGTGGAATAGCCGCATCGAGCTGAATGAGGCATTCCTGCACATATCAAAACATGTTGGCATCAATCTTGAAAAAAATATGGTTTGATCATCTAATGAATGAATGTACATAATTTTGGCATTGCCTGCCAGGGGTTGGTGTTTATAGAGCACTATGCTGGTGCATCGGAAATGACGAACACTATGAGAGAGAATTCTGTGCCCAGCGCACGCTTGGATCTGAATTTGCACCGGTCTATGAACATTTTAACGCCCGCAGGCATGGCGACTTGACCTTAGCTACCCATGGGACTGCAATCAATACAGATCAGTACTTCCATTGGGTAAGACTTCACTCATGCTGAAGTAGCTAAGGACACACATGGTATCTATACTGCGTGGGTCCACTGAAGGATTCGCATGCTGGAAAGGTGTCAAATGTGCATCTTGGGTGAGCATTTGCAGAGCCACAACTCTGAGGAGTTTTTTTGCGCCTTGTGGGGATGAATCCTCCAAATTTGTGATGGAGGGGAATGGCATGGCCGCACGAGAGGCATTATTATGTTTGCTTGTTGCTGCTCTCTTTGGCAGCTGGTGCATTGAGCAGCCATCATCTTCACTTTTGTTTCGGCACCCACGAATGCAATGGCTGTGCCAACAAATGACAGTTGAATCCTTAGTACTTAGGGTTGAATGTGCAATTGCTGAATAATTTCAACCTTTCTGGAAACCAAAGTGGTTAAGATAAATTATATAAGTACTTGCACTCAGGTTTTTCGCTGCAATTTTTGGATGTGTTTCTTTGACAGCAAGTCACCGAAGAGGACATCGGTATGGAGCAACCGTTCCTTCATTAAGAAATTTTGGCTTGGTAAATTATCAAAGAAGATCAGGCAAGACCTTAAGCTGAAGTACCCTGACTTCTATACTACTGTCAAATACGTGGACAAAAAGGGGAAGAAGAGATATCATGGCAGTCGCCAGCTGAAGTCCACGCAGACTCTTAGTTGTATATACATGCACATTTTTTCAAGAACCCCCTGGAGGAAGGAGACAATTTTCCATGACGGTTGTTTCAACGATTTAGTGTGTGGCCAACCCTCTCCACAAGCATGCATGCATATTTTTGTCCTTACCCATGTGCACTTAGGACGTATACGAAAAAGTTTGCGTTGAGGATGTTGGAACTCCTTCCTGTTGCAGCTGATGCCGAGATCCAGCCTTCTCGTCCCAGGGATGCTCTCGCCGCTGAGCTTACCTCCTTGTGGACGCAAACTGATGGGTTGGGCCCGGATCTTTGGGATGATGCAGGGATGCCACAGCTGGTTCACTACCTTCTGGGGGCCAAAGGTCTTAACGTCCCAGAACAGTGGGAGTGGTTGATCCCTTCTCACATTTAAATTCCATATAGTGCCACTACACATTTGGACATGGGCATGGGCAAAAAGAACAGGGGATGAGTGCATGCCCATGTTATGCTGGTCAGTATGGACTACATCTAGCTTCCTTCATCTCAAGCTGGATTCAGACAACTCGCATATCGATCTATCAGAGTCGCTAGTGTTCAAGACTTCACGGAGTTTGTCCTCAACTAGAGGCAGGGCCAATTGATGACAAACCTTTTCAAACCAACAGAGGTTGAAAAATCTTATAGATCATTTTTTCAACCTGTCCTTTTTTAAGCGTTTTAGGGCCCAGAAAAGGCTAAACAAGGACACCAGCAAAAGAATGCCTATGTAGACTTTCAACCTCTGTTTGAGATTCTTGCTATGTCTTTCGAAAATGTCTTTCGAAAAGCCTTCGAAAGGTTGAATCAGCCCGGAAGAACTTCGAAAAATCTCTGGTTGAACAGTTTCGAAGGATTTCGTTCACATTTCGTGAAAACGATGATTTTCGAAACATCCAAAAACAGTCAAGAAACATCCAAAAATACCCAAGAAACATCCGAAAAAACACACGTATACGACCACTTTTTTTCGGTACGAAAAAATTGGATATATGCATCATTTTTTCGAAAATGTTCGAAATTCGACGTTCGAAATTCGATGTTCGAAATTCGACGTTCGAAATTCGACGTTCGGAATTCGACGTTCGAAGCTGCCAGGTCTACATGTCGGAGCCCCGAGCAGCTGAACCAGTCCTTCGAGGTGGATGGTCGGCATCCTCGCTGTTGTCCGGCATTCGGGCAATGGACCAGGATTGCCTCAATGCCATCAAGCGTGAGCTTCCAGATGATCCCCAAGAACTTCAGCAGTTGCAGGAGGCAAATGTGTTTTTATGTCGATCGATATAAACCATTATATCATTATCACTACTAGATAGCATATAGCATATGATTGCCTACCTACAGTTGGGTGGCTAGTAAGTTGGCAGTGGTTGCTATCGATGGAGGTGATCACGCAGATGATATCTTCTTCTTCGCCCCCTGCCTTGGACGCTGGTGGTGCCCAGGCCCAGGAGGAGTCAAACCAGGCAAGGCTGCACATAATATATTATATATGATATATATATATATATATATATTTTTTTTTTTAAATCAATCACAGGCCAGATTCATCCAGCAGCGGCCGCTTGTGTGGCTGCACGCTGGACTAGAAACATGTTGGGAAAAATACAATGTATAATATATCTATTGATATATCTATAATATATAGGATTTTGACCCCGCAGAATCAAAAACAAATGGTGATTTCCTCAGACAACCATGTAGGGCCAACCATATATTTCTGCCATGGTTGTTTAGGGTTCCAGGGAGACCATTGTCAAGTTACTAGTTTCTATAGTGTTGATGTACCAATGTCTACCTATCCCATGATTCACGTCATATGTTGTGGCAGGTACGAAGCCCCTACTGCTCTGCGCCTACAGTGCATTACGAGGGTGATGGCACTCGCAAGCCTGTTCCTACTGCAACAAAGGGGAATTTTCCACTTCCTCCCAAGACCCTTGTTCAATCAGTAGCCAGGCCTAGTGTGGACGGGGTTCCCAAGAGTGTTCCTGCTGTTTCTGAACCCAGTAGCCCGAGACCACCCCCATGCAAGCGAGCCACGCACTTGGAGCACACTGGGGCCAAGCTTCAACGCTTGTTGGCTCCAACGCCGTCCCAAGCACCTCGGCCAAAAGCAGCGTCAGCAAAGGAGATGCCAGTGGCACGTTTGTTGGCCAAGGAGTTTGATGCTGTCAGTGTGAGTGCAGACCCCCTACACCCTGATCAGTCATTGGTGTTTGACAAGCCTCTGAATGCGAATGGGAGTTTGGATCATGTCTTCTCACCGACACCTGTTGCTACACCAGCCCCTGTGACACCTCCCCAGACCAACGAACAGGTTGAAACTTGTTGGCATGATGTGTTGGCAACATCAGCAAAAACATGAGAAAAGCAAGACGTGCAGTTTCCACTAGTTTTTTGATTGTTGGTGCATCTGTTCCTTCATGGGTGCATTGGTTTCCCCATGCATACCTCTTGCTAAGGACAAGAATGCAGCATACCTTCAAGCTCTTGTAGACCAGCAGGGACATCAGATTGAGGTGTTGAACCAGCAGTTGTTGACACTTCAAGGGGAACAGCCTGAACGTTCTCCTCCCAATGAAAAATCCCCAGAGATGAAAAATGCCACTTGAATCAACCTATGTTGTATGCATGTATACACAATGGTAAATGCACTTGTTCTTACTTTCCAAACCATATGCTGTCCCTTCCCAAGCCAAGCCCTGCTTTAAGGCCACTCCTGCTGGTGATCATGCCGAGGCACTGCAGGCTGGAAATACTCAGCCAGACGCAAAGGCACCTGAGGCGGAGGAAGCGGATGTCAATGGGGAAGAGCCAGCAGTGCTTCATGTGGCAACCCTTTCCCGCTATGAAAAGGAGAAGGTCAGGCGCATTGTTTGCCCCAAACAAAATACTGGTAGGCTGGAGGTACCGGATGATGTGCACCAGCTGTGGAACACACCATAAGGGAAAGAAAAGTTGTTCTCGCTTTGGTGCAAGAGTGGCGGAGTTAAGGCTTATTGGTCGCACAAAACAATTTTTGGGATGTCAAACACCTATGGTGATCAATTTAAATGCCATATCTATAGTATATGTAATATAGATCTGTATTATATAATTGCAACTTGGCTTTCTATAAAAATACATGTAGCCCGCTTTGACAGCCATAGTGGCGCTGTTTATTGTTCTTCGCCTGGTCCCATGCTGAAAATCTCCACCGGGGGGCCCATCTATTGTGAATCCCTGTGGCATATGATGGCTAGCCAAGGCTATCTTTCTCGAACGGGTGGAAATCTTAAGTGTGACAACGAAAAGCAAGAAGATTGAAGTCCAGGGTGGCTTTTACTCAGAAGAGGATATGAAGTCTGAGCTTGGGTATCCGGAGTTTTCTAGCAGCACTTAGGCATCCTATGACATGCAGGCCCTCCTGTCTCCTTCTGGTTTTTCCGACCTTGTCTCCCATGTTCCCTTTCATCCAAGGGACCGCATCGAGAAGATCAAAAAGTGGGCCATTGCAAAGCAGCTTGTGAGGCCAGCTGTTGCCTGCACAAGCAATGGTGTATCTCCCTGTTGTGTTCCAAAATCATGTTCTGGCAGGCTTTGCGAATATGATGAAGATACTTTGGAGTATTGGGTGAATGTGAGAACATCTGGCACCCTATCCCGTGAAGATTTGCTCACGTTGTCGAAGTCTCGTACCCATGAACAAGAGACCACTGCAGATGCTTTTGCACATGAGCAAGTGGATTTGAGTGTTGGTGGGTTTCCCGATTTGGGTGGTGCTGAGCCTGCTCTTGCCACGGAAGGGGACAAGAGCCTAGGGGTCACTAAGTGGCAACCTGATAATCTTGAATTTGGCAACTGACTGTTTTAGCATTCAAGTACATGTCTACATGCCGCATCCCCCAATAAGGTGAAACAAAAGCTTGCGATGTACTTGAAGAATGGGTTGAAGGCCAAAAATTCAGTCAGCACCGTGGCTGACAAGATCCGAGCCTTGGCATTGGAAGACCAATCTTGCAAGGCGAAGCTTGGCTGCTAACTTCCCGCCCATCAGTTCAGAGCTGCAAAAGTTGAGATTCCACTGCAAGTTTTACCTCAGCAAAGATATGACCATATTATGCACATCACTTCAGGACAGTTGCGAAGCTAGATGACAACGCAAAGACCATCGAACAGATCTATGAACAGTTGGCGGAATACCAGGCTGAAGGAGAAACCACCGGCTTCAACAAAGAGTGTGCAACTTAATGGTACTCTTCTGAAAATCAAACAGTGAAGGAGTGTAGGAGACAGCCTGAATATCGAAATACTACTGCTTTCTCAATCAAACAGTACCTAGTGGGAAAATTTTGAATATCCGAACGCTATTGCTTTCTCAGTCACACAGCGCCCGGTGGGAAAAGCCATCAAATCGCTTTGCCCAGGTTGAGCGAGAAGATCGATGCTGAGTTCCTCAAGATGACGCGAGCGAAGCAAAGCTGCACATTTTGTTGTTTCTTATTGTGCCAAAAATCAGTTGGCCCCGTCCTCCCCTGGTCCACCTTAGAGCAATTTACATTAGTGAGCTATCTAAGGATGTCCAAAGCGACTGCAGCCGAAGCTGCTGCAAAGCGGGTTCCCCAAAACTCTTCCTAGCTGAGTTCTGGATCCAGCAAATGATTCCATGCTAGCAAACACTAACCCGTGGCTTGCCTGTTTGTTTGAGGCATTTCGTCAGCAAGGCTAAGCGTTCAGTGAAGACCGAAAAGTGAATGGTAGCGATGGGGATTTGTTTCCCTGTTCTTGTCTGCATTTATGCAGCGCTATAGTTTCTGGAGTTGTCCAGGGCAACTTCTTGTCAGGGGTTGAGAACAGTCCGGGTGGGTGCTGTGCACATGCATCTGCCTGCAAAAACACAGCCAGGCAGCCAGCCCCTTAGAACCTGTGTCTGTTGGGGATTCATTCAGGATAACACACGTGCAGCCATCGAAAAAATTGCATGCAGCCAGCTTGCATATTGTGGATGATGGTAGCTGTTCTTCACACATGATGTGTGTGGAAAATTCTTTCAACGTCGTGATTGCTTTGCAAAGAAACCCATATATGCACATACATCTCAGCTGAAATATGTTCCTTTTATTTCAAGTTGCGCTAGGCTTTGAGTTAAGCCAGACGGTCGTGCACATTGCAAAGATCTATGGAAAAGGCGTTCCTTGAAAACAATTGACGACATGTCATTTACTTATGCCTTCCCTCCCAGATCAATCACTCACAAATCTGCAAACTTGTTGATCCAAGGCTCCTGCAGCTGATTGTGTTGAGGAAGCACAGTCCGCTTCAGTGAAGGATGATTGCCCAGTCCTGCGTCGCATCGCCAGTGCAAGGGTGGCAGATCCTGATGAACCTTTGTTCAAAGCCTTGAAAGATTGCGGGCACGCCCTTGATGTGCCAGTTACAACTTTGAAGCTGGACAACACCTTTGAATACCCATGCCTTCACCCACGGGACCTTCTGTTTGCTTTTGCCAATGCAGGGTTTACTCACCGGATATTAGGGGTGGAGGGGCCACTTGAAAGTGTAGAGAAAAGCTTAGCTGATTTCTGGAGAAGATTTAGGCTTGCAAATCCAACCCACGATTTGAGTCAGCTTGGAGAAACAGATCAAAATTGGTCCAGACTTCTACCTTTTTACCTTCATGGTGATGGTGGTAGAACCTACAAAAAGGATCCTATTTTAGTGCTGAGCATGTACAGTGCATTGGGAAGAGGAACGGCAAAAAGACCGGCCTCAACGCAGCTTGGTCGCCATGCGAAGCGAAAGCACGACGATGATTCTTCCGCAGAAGAGGGCATCGAATGTGGTGTCAACCTTCTTGGCCATTCGTATACACACCGTTTTCTTTACACTGCTATGAAGGCTGAATTCTACAAGAAAAAAATCACCGATTTGAAACCTTGATTGACTTTTGGGGACAGCATCTCGCTGACTTGTACACTTCGGGCTTGGAGCTCAATGGCCACACATGGAAAGTGGCTATATTGGGCTTGACTGGTGATGCTCCTTTCCTTCGTGAAACTGGATTCCACAACCGGAGTTTTTCCAATGTCAAAAAGTCTCATTCTTCCAAATCCCTGTGCAAGGGGGTTTGCTGGCTGTGCGCTGCTGGCATATCAAATGGACCACCATTTGAAGATGTGCGGGTTACTGATGCCCAGTGGTTGGAAACTATTGGGCCTAACAACCCTTTACCGTGGGATCGTCCAGGGCCGCTTTTGGCATACTTACCAGTGGATCAAGAAGATCTAGCTTCCTTCTACAGGCCTGACTTGTTTCACATTTTGCATGCTGGTGTCGGCAAGGATTTTGCTGCCAGTTGCATCATCTATTTCTGTGCTAAGACGTTCAAGTCGTCGCGAATTGGTTTGGCGTTGGATCATGTCAATCTCCTTTTCCGAAATTTTCTTGCCACAGAAAAAGAACGTGTCAATTTTAGCAACATCACATTTGAACTCTTGGGCTACGAAAGCAGCAGAACATACCCTATGGGACACTGGTCCAAAAATTTGGATACTGCTGTAATGATCAAGTTTGTGGAGCACGTGGCAGCCAACAATTTGGATCCTGGAGATCCTGTTATGCAGCTCATAGTGCAGGGAAGCAGCGCTATAAACCACTTTATGCGTGTGTTGCTTTCTGCTCCCTATTGGCTATGTGAGTCTGAAGCTTGGCAGGCCATCTTTGCGGGGCAGGAATTTTTGTCAGCTTTTGCTGGATTGGCACAGGCTTGCTATCATCAGAAGCTATGCTTGTTCAAGCTCAAACCAAAACTGCATATGTTTGCCCATATCGTTTTTAGGATGCTGCAACAATTTCGATGTGACACTGGCTGCACAACAAACCCAGTGGCAGAAGCCACATTCATGAGCGAGGATTTTGTTGGCCACGTCTCAAGATTAAGCAGGCGCGTCAATGCCAGGAGGCATGGCCACAAAATATACAACCGCTATTGCGTTGCAGTTTGCCAGAAGCTGCGAGCGGGGGACGCTGTGAAGAAATCGCAAAGAAAATATGCGCGTGATCAAGGTTTATTCTGATTTTGTGCAACCCAGTAAAAGTGTGATTTTTGAAACGACCGTATTTTTTCGAAACGACCAAAACTGAAACTGAAATGGTCTTCGACCAGAAACTTCTGGATGGTTCAGGATCTAGGTATATATATATATATATATATCATATATATGTAATATGTATATCATATATATATATATATATCATATATATATAATTATATATATATATCATATATAATCATATATAGATGTATACATAGGGATCTAATGGCATAACATGGTATAACCAACATGATATGACATGTGGGTTTTGTCTAAAAATGGGAGATAGCCAACCCAAATGGCAATGTTCATGGGGAATGCATGGGAATATGATGATTGACTATGGGATTTCCGGGTATCAAGCAAAGATGGCTGCTCGATGTTCCATATATGTCCTACAGGTTCCCATAGTTCTTGTTGCGCTTTTGGGGCAAACTGAGCAGCCCAAAACCTTCGGTCATCCCCAAACTCTGAACCTGGCTGAGATTCAAATCAATGTGATGGTTCAGGGCCAAGGTAAGTCTCCAAAAGCTGTCCTTGCATGACGTCAGGACCTGCCTAGCCCCATCGATAGAATGAATGACACCATGGTAGCATTGACGATTTCAGGCCTACTACCTGAATATCGAGTATAATATACTAATTATACAGGCCAATCACGTCATTTTTCGAGTCCCCAAAAAGATTGAACAGAAAATTAGCACCAAAATTGGCCGGTTTTTTCCATTCTTGTAGAAATGGTGGAAACATGTTGAAACAACGTCTGAACAGTGTGTCTGAACAGAAGGAATCCCCCAACATGTCATTCTGGTGGGGAAAATGATCAGAAACCATGGGGATTTTGGCTCGGATCTGCTCAAGCGGGCCATTAAAACACACATATTCCGAGTAGATTCCCCAAATCGACTAACCAATGGGACAATTCAGTCTCATGTTCAGCACATCCAGGTTTTTTTGTTGTTTGGAATTCCAGACTGCTGGCATCATATCATCTTTTTTTAAACCACTATATACGTAGTTCTATACCCCAATATTTGTTGATTATATCCCTGTCCAAAAATCCTTGGTTCCGTGTGAAATTCCATCGAATTGTTGCTGATTTTCTCGGGCTGAGCATCCTCGCAGAGCATCTGAAAGTTGGGGCACTCCTGGGCGGTGCTGTAGCCAGCTTTTAGACATGTGGTAAACCCTGGCTGCCATAAACAACTACCATTTGGGGATGGTTGGATTACAACTCAGACACATGGTGATTTCTTGGGGATTGCTCTTGAAGTTGGGTTTGCAACCTTTATTTACATTTTTTCTATGACGTTTCATCCGCTAAGGCTGAGGTGGGTTAAAACTGATACTGCATAGCATTGCTAGTCTGGAAAGTGGTGAACATGTTGGTACGTGCAGCAAAACACTTGCTCTTCGCAAATGAATCTGTGTTCAGAGCTCATGAGTCCATTGAATGAATATCCAGCACTTCACCAACATGTTTCTAGTTTAGTGTTATCCAGTTTTCAACAGAACATTTGGAGAAGTTGCGACAGACTCTTTAGTCTAAATCATCCAAATTTGAGAGATTGAACTGATTGATTGAATACAGCCAGTAACTCAACCCAACAGTCAAAACAAATAGTACCAGTCCTTACAACGCGGGGGCATGGAAACAAAAGGACGACTCGGTTCGTCATCGCTGAAATCCACATCCAGGTCCATCGCGCTGATCGAAGAAAACACGAACCCAGATACAAGTACATGGTTGGTGGTTTTAACCATCTTGAAACATATTAGTCAATGGGAAGGATTATCCCATATATTATGGAAAAATAAAAATCATGTTCCAAACCACCAACCAGATATAATTGACCTTTGTTATCCCTTTCTGTAATGTGTTTTCAAACAACTTCAGGCCTGTTTTGTGTCCCATGTGGTCCCACGTCTCGCCCATCCCACGTTCCCAGGCCACATCCCAAGGGTCCCAGGCCGCAGCCGGGTCGAAAGCCTCACTGCTGGGGCATTTCGGCAGATCTTCCTTGGATTTGCAGAAGGAAGCCTAAAAAAAAACAGCAGATCTTCCCTGAAAATCGATCCCAGTAATGGATTTCCCATTGGGAAAATATGGAGGTTTCCGAAGTCATGGGGGTACCCCTAAATCATCAATTTTAATAGGATTTTCCCGAAAATAAACCATCCAGCTATTGGGGCACCCCCATTTTAGGAAACCCCAAAAAAATTGGGAAAATAAAGCCACATCACGGTAGACAAAGCCAAGCTTCCTTTCCCACTTGCGTTTCCTGGCAGAACTTCCAGCCCCCTTTTCCAGCGCAGAGATCCAGGATGCCACGAGCCAATGGGGCAGTCCTGGCTGCGATGGTTTCGATCCACGGGGGTCGTCAAAACAAAAAACGAACAATCCAAGTATAGATGAACCAATGGATTGATAACCAATCATCGCAATTAAACTATATCTTCATGTCCTTAAATGGTGGATCGCTTGGGAGCTTCCTTTCTGAGCATCAAAAAACTCATCGTGGTTCCTGGGGTCCCTTCGCCTAAAGACTCTTAAGCCATCACAAAACAATGCTGGCGCCTCCTAGAGAGTCATACTCACAACGTGTGGTGGTCTACAACGACGGAAGTGGGCATGAAGAATATGTATCTGATTTCATCTAAATACATCTCAATGCATCTACCATGCCCACCAACTAACATAGACATTTGACCCTGAACACTGCTCAGCTCAGGAGAGTCTTCCAAGCCCCTGTTTGGCAAGCATTATATCATATGTTAGTTGAAGGCTACATCAGCAATAACTGATTCCTCTGACTTTGGCCAAGTGATATCTGGTGGGGTCTGGAGAATCTCCTGTAGTGCCCAGGGCGTCCTCAATTTCATCATAGTCTTCAGGTAAAGGCAAATATTGGCAACACCAAAGCCTGCAGCTTGTTGCCAATAATTATCGGCTACCCACACATACCAATGGTCCTTTGATGTACCATAGGATGATGTAGGGATGATAGATTTCTGAACCAGAATACACTTTTGCCGTTCCGCGCTATGCACATAGAGTACATCCCATAAGAATCCATAAGACACCTCTTGTTTCGTTGTTTCGTTGGGCATGATCCTCCGAAATGTATGACACAGAAGGAGCCTTGTGTGAATCGATTCAATAATCAATAAAACCACAAGAAACAACTTGGTCAAACCAAGACTCCCCCTCCCTTCTTGGACCCAACGTCATGCCATCACCTACCCTTCAAGACCACAAGGGACTAGAACCGGTTGCTTCTTTCAAGCAGTGGTCAACAAATTTCATCCAAACCAAAAACTCTGCAACAACTCGCCCCAGTGGCCCAGTACCTCAGTACTTGGGAGGTCGCCATGATCCAGATCCGGGCGACTAGTGCGTGGCATTGGAAGAAGCTCCTCTGGGATCTTCTGCTTCAAGGCCTCTGGCTGTGACAGAAAAAAACATCAGCTGGTTTTGGGTTGTCATCCAACCTTTTAATCCAACCATCTCTAGGACTCTAGGAGAATTCTCCGGGTGACCATGGCTTCACAAAACCATTTGGAAGAGGAACCAGCGACAGTGACATGATTTTTGCAGCGCGGAGCTTGAACCGCTCATCTAAAAATTGAACCCTCCAAACACATCTTAGCGGCAAAACCAAGCCATGCGTCGCGTCCTTGTCCATGTACGTTAAAGTTGCATTTCATCCAAATGTGGGGATGAAATCATAAAATGCGCTGTTCCAACCAATCATGCGTATCAAAGGTATAATATGATATATATATATATATATTATAAATACATAATCCTGCTCGTCGTTGCTGCGCAAATTCCTTCATCAACGATCCTGTCGCGAAATTGATTCTTGAGGTGGAGACTTCTCAAACACCAAAAACAATGGCTTCCCGATTATAAATGATCAATCTTAATCAATTTTAAGGATAATTTGGGGTCCCCCGGTTCAAGAAATTGCCATTTGGAAGGCGTGGAAACCATCTCCCGATATCAGCCTCACAATACTGCTGGGAATACTTCAGGTTGACAGTACTTCCGTTTGAATACCGTGCGCTCCGAAGCCCCCCTGCTTTCCCTTCACATATGCACCAAAAAAACATAGCTTAGAAAAGCCACAAAAGGCTTTCCATTCGAACAACTATAGACTTCACAATCTGGATGACGTGTCCAATAACCCCCTTATCCAAATACTAATTGGTAATAGTATCCAATATGATACCCTCGCGCCTCCTTCCGCACTCGTTTCATGGAATTCCAATGCTTCTGACCTCCGAGGACGACGATGGCTGAAATCCGGGGGAACATCTTTTTTTTGGGTTCCTTTTTGCATGGGGGTATCCCAAAAATGGATGGTTTATCCATGGAAAACCATGGAAAACCCCTATTTAGATATATTTCAATGGATGATTTGGGGGAATTTTACCCCTATGTTAGGAAACATCCAATTATGGGGGGAAAATCCCCATGACTTTTGGACTTTTGGGGAAATCCCCATGACTTCGGAAACCTCCATAGCTGCTGGTATCCCCACTTTCCAACGGCTGGTGACGCGTTCCAATCAACCCAACAGTGGTTCCAACAACTACCCGGCCTGGTAAACATACAAAAAACTATGAAAAATCACCATTTTAATGGGTAAATCCACTATAAATCACCATTTTCAATAGCTTTTTCTATGTTTACCAGAGGCTACCGACATCCTGGGGCAGAAAAAAACCTGGGGTGATACACCATGAATTTTCCCTACGATCTGGTGCCACGTCGTCAAGTTGCAGCACCACAATACAATCCATCCGATATGCCGTGAATTAAATCCCCATGAACTTGGA